GAGAGATTTTGGGAGATGTTAAGTGAATGTATAGGAGCCTTTGAACCAAGTGAGAGAGTAATTGTGGTAGGGGACCTGAATGCTAAAGTAGGAGAAACTTTAGAGAGGGTGTGGTAGGTAAGTTTGGGGTGCCAGGTGTAAATGATAATGGGAGCCCTTTGATTGAACTTTGTATAGAAAGGGGTTTAGTTATAGGTAATACATATTTTAAGAAAAAGAGGATAAATAAGTATACAAGATATGATGTAGGGCGAAATGACAGTAGTTTGTTGGATTATGTATTGGTAGATAAAAGACTGTTGAGTAGACTTCAGGATGTACATGTTTATAGAGGGGCCACAGATATATCAGATCACTTTCTAGTTGTAGCTACACTGAGAGTAAAAGGTAGATGGGATACAAGGAGAATAGAAGCATCAGGGAAGGGAGAGGTGAAGGTTTATAAACTAAAAGAGGAGGCAGTTAGGGTAAGATATAAACAGCTATTGAGGATAGATGGGCTAATGAGAGCATAGGCAATGGGGTCGAAGAGGTATGGGGTAGGTTTAAAAATGTAGTGTTAGAGTGTTCAGCAGAAGTTTGTGGTTACAGGAAAGTGGGTGCGGGAGGGAAGAGGAGCGATTGGTGGAATGATGATGTAAAGAGAGTAGTAAGGGAGAAAAAGTTAGCATATGAGAAGTTTTTACAAAGTAGAAGTGATGCAAGGGGGGAAGAGTATATGGAAAAAAAAGAGAGGGGTTTAAAAGAGTGGTAAAGCAATGAAAAAAGAGAGAAAATGAGAGGGGGGTGGGGTGTTATCAACAAATTTTGTTGAAAAAAAAGAAAAAGTTTTGGAGTGAGTTAAACAAGAAAGAAAGCTAGAGAACAAGGGATTTGTCAGTTAAAAATAGGAGGGAAGTTTTAAATGGAGAGTTAGGGTTTTGGGGAAGTGGAGGGAATATTTTGGGGTTTTTAAAATGTTGAGAAGATGGGGGAAGCTGTGATTTCGTGTATAGGGCAAGGAGGAAAAAATCTTGTAGGAGTGAGGAAGAGCCAGTTGTGAGTGTGGGGGAAGTTGTGAGGCAGTAGGTAAAAATAAAAGGGGGAAAGGCACCCGGGATTGATGGGTAAGTTGAAATGTCAAAAGCAGGTGGGGATATAGTTTTGGAGTGGTTGGTGCTTATTTAAAAATGTATGGAAGAGGGAAAGGGTTTCCCTGGGTTTGGAGGGCTGATATTCCCTTTGTATAAGGAAAAGGGGAAAAAGAGAGTGCAAAAATTATAGGGGGAAAAAGTCTGTGAGTATACCTGGTAAAGTGTATGGTGGTTATTATTGAAAGAATTTAAAGAGTAAGAGGAGATAGGATAGAGATGAAAAAGGAGGTTTTTAGGAAGGTGGGGGGGTTTGGGCCCAGGCGTTTACAGTGAAAATAAAAGTGAACAGTATTTAGATAAGGCTAAATGGTTTTGTGGGCTTTATGGATTTTGGGAAAAAGGGTATGACAGGGTGGATAGGGGGGCAATGTGGGAGATGTTGCAAGTGTATGGTGTAGGAGGTAGGTTACTGAAAACAGTGAAGAGTTTTTCGAGGATAGTGGGGTCAAGTTGAGTTGTAGGAAAGAGGGAAATTATTTCCCCGTAAAAGTAGGCCTTAGACAAGGATGTGTGATTGTCACGTGGTTGTTTTATATATTTATAGATGGGGTTGTAAAAAGAAGTAAAGCGGGGCTTGACAAGAGGGTGGGTTAAAAAATAAAAAATCACACACAAAATGGGAGTTGTCCCGTCTCTTTGCTGGGTGACACTGTGCTTTGGGGTTCTGAAAAGAAGTTGCAGAATTGGTGGATGAATTTGGGGGGTGTGCAAAAGAAGAAATTAAAGGTGAAAAAAAGGGAAAGGTAAAGGGTTTTGAGGATAAAAAAAAAGATTAGGTGATGAAAGATTAAATATCGATTGGGGGGAGAGAGTATGGAGGAGGTAAATGTATTAGATATTTGGGAGTGGACGTGTCAGCGGATGGTCTATGAAAGATGAGGTAAATTTCATAGAATTGATGAGGGAAAAAAGAGTGAGTGGTGCACTTAGGAGTCTGTGGAGACAAAGAACTTTGTCCTTGGGGGCAAAGAGGGGAATGTTGAGAGTATAGTTTTACCAAACGCTCTTATATGGGGGGTGAAGCATGGATGATGAATGTTGCAGCGAGGAGAAGGCTGGAGGCAGTGTTGTTTGTCCAGAGGGCTGAGGAAGGGTTGTTGAGGTGGTTCGGACATGTAGAGAGAATGGAGCGAAACAGAATGATTTCAAAAATGTACCCAGTTCTGTAGTGGAAGGAAGGCGGGGTAGGGTCGGCCTGGGAAAGGTTGGAGAGAGGGGGTAAAGGAGGTTTTGTGTGCGAGGGGCTTGGATTTCCCAGGAGTGAATGGGGGACAAATGGTTTTTAATACTTGACGTGCTGTTGGAGTGTGAGCAAAGTAACATTTATGAAGGGGTTCAGGGAAACCGGCAGGCCGGACTTGAGTCCTGGAGATGGGAAGTACAGTGCCTGCACTCTGAAGGAGGGGTGTTAATGTTGCAGTTTAAAAACTGTAGTGTAAAGCACCCTTCTGGCAAGACAGTGATGGAGTGAATGATGGTGAAAGTTTTTCTTTTTCGGGCCACCCTGCCTTGGTGGGAATCGGCCAGTGTGATAATAAAAAATAAAATAATAAAATAATTGTGCAAGTCGTCTGCTACCACATCTCATACTTATGTTTATTTATTCTACTGTGGGGTGTGTTTATCATATTTATGTGTTATGCATCGTGTTTATTATATAATTTTGAAAAAAAAAAAAACAGATTAATGAAAATGTGTATAGTAACGTAATATACGACATTTAAATGAGACTCTGTGATTATTATTATCATTACTAATATGACGTCTGGAGACATAAAACACTTACTGATTTTAATGTGTACCTGCACGCCAGCACAATATGTAAGTTTATTTAGGTACAGGTATACATAAGTATAATTATCAGAGTATATATAAAATAACTTTTAAAAACCCTTGAAATTTTGGAGATTCCAGACATAATGGAGAGACTTAGTGCTTACGAATCTCACAGAGAATGTAAACAAACCGGGTGGGGCGCGGTGACCATATTCAAAAGTCAGGTGGGGGGAGCCATATAGCGAGTTTTGGTCATAATTTGAAATGACCGTATTAGCGGAACGCCGTAAAGCGAAACACCGTAAAGCGGGGCTCTATATATATACTGTATCCACTTAAATTCTAGCGCCTTCAAATTTGGTGCAAGAGATCCGAGAGGCCTAGGCATGACAAAACGAGTCTGCTTGGATGATGTGGGCAGGATGCAAAAAATAGTGTGCTACTGCAATGCATCATGGGAACGCTATCCAAGTACATGCCATGCCACCTAAGTACTCACTCAGGTGAATTAAGTCTTATTTCTTAGTGATAACTCCAATGAAGATATAGATCCTTAATTTTTTTTTTTTAAGGTTTTGAAAACAAAGTGGCCTGTGGAGAATTAACTCCAATTTAAAAAGAGGAGGGGGGGAAAGTAACACTCAGCCCTCTGAGGGGCCTAGCCCTCTTCGAAGGGGCTAGTGAACTCTTCCACTTCCTTGTTCTCATGACAGTTAGCAAACATATGCATCAAGAGCTGGGTCTCTCATGCTGATGTCAGGGCATTCTCTACTCCTTACTAGAATTTCTGAGCAACTGCACATATGAGTGTAAACCTAGAGTAACTATTTCCCCATAGCAGAAAAATTTCAAATAAAAACATTCCTTACTTAATCTACAAGGTATTATGACTTCCAACCCACAGCTAAACAAAAAAACAGCCCTCTTGTGTTAAACACTTGCAAAAGCTAGCAATGAATGTCTATAAAGCTGAAGTCAGTGTTTCCTCTGTGGGATGAGGGGCCATGACGCCCTACAGCGCCCGAGAAGTCAGACTGCTTTAAGTACTGTACTCAGAGTGTGAATGTATCATGGAATCTCCCACTGAGAAAGACAGCAGTGAACTGCACGGCTATAGACTCTGGAATACTGACAATCTCCACTAGGAAGTTGAACTAGTTCAAACACACATGAAGTAATCCATGGTAATGCTATGATAAAGTGTCTGCAGTGTGCACTCAGGCATAATCGGACACTGGGAGAAAAATTCTCCCTACCATGGACAATACGGTGACAAGAAAAATGCCAGGAATAGTGCTGAAAACCCTGATGACCCCCCAATCACCTACCACAGGCATCAGCACAACTACAAGATCACACTGTCAGTGAAAGCTGATACTGTCCTGTGGTTTGGGCACTAAATAACAATTATGGTGGTGATACTGAATTTGATTTCCAAGCAACTGATGATTATTCACCTCTGAAGTATCAACTTATACGGTGATGCATTGAGTCTGGCAAAGTTGCTAGGGCTATTACCAAGGGACAAGATAGATCACAGGACCCAACAACAGTGACAGTAATGGTGTTTCCATTGGCATAGGTAGTGAACTGTGGCAAATGTCCCAGGAGGAGCCCCTATCTCACACCCCCAACCACCTCTATCTGTGTGCATGCATACAGTATGTGCGTGCAAGTGTAAAAATTCAAAACCATAAGAATAATTTGGAAAAATTAAATATTCTAATATGCAGTATGTGGCAGCCCTGAAGTTGCTATTGTGGGGTCAATGACCAAATCCGTGCCTTCACATCAGTAAATACTGATGGATTTTTTAAATTTCCACTAATAATATGAGCTCTTTTAAAATTTTATTTTTAAACTGCAACACTGATTTTTGTGTGTGTAGGTGTAGGGGTGCTGTGTCTGCAACAATGAAAAGTTAACAATTCTTTTTTTTTTTTTAATTGAGATCATGACAATAATGGTTGGAAGTATGGTAACATTTTTGGCTATGTATGGTTGGTGGTTTTATACAACCTGACAGTTCATCTATGCCAATACTGTGTTGCTACTGTAAGTGTTAACATTCTCCTCATAACAACTACTAACCTCTGCTCCTTTGAAGCCTGGGAGAACTATCATCATCATCATCATCATTATCATCATCACCATTGCTGCATGAAGATGTGTCACTACTGCATGCACTACTAGGGCTCCTATGCCTGTGTGACACATCATAGGTTGCCTTTTTTCTATGCGGAGGGTCTCCATGAGCATCTGCTAATTCAGTCTTCCCTCTAACTTTCTGCCCAGATTGTGACTTCCTTTTAGTCTTTTTTCGTACAACTGGCTCAACATCCTCTAGCTGTACACTTGGACGTCTTCTACTCTTACCACCATCCTTCTGATGCTTGCTACTTCCTTCATCTTTTTCCCTCCATCTGCCCGAGTCTTCTCTTGACCATCTTCTAACCCCCTCAGACACCCTAGGATAGCTGCTAGTTTCTCCACCACTCTTCTTTTTCTTCTTTGGACTAGTGAAGATGGCAGTGCGACCAAAATCATTGTAGATCACAACTTCAGAAGCTATAGCAGAGATCTTTTTAGAAGAGCGCCTCTCTGGATTGAAGTCTAGAATAAAAAGTATATAAATATTACATAAATTTAATGAGTATGAAAGCTTTTAGTAGATTTACACTATTACTACAATATTTTCTCAAGTCTTCCACACACTGTTCATGCAACATTCATGACAAATATGATTGCTGGATGAATCAAGTCCATCAATGGTGTAATTCGAAAATATTGATGGTTCAGCAATACACATGCCTACCTTTATGAATTTAAACATCATCACAGACATGACTACAAAAAATTAAATACTGTATTAGGAGTAACTGTGTCCAACAGCAACCAAAGAGCACAAACTAAAGCACTCATACCAAACAGAAGAAACAAAAAAGATAAACAGAAAATAGAGAAAAAACCCTGAGTATTAACAATCTATTTAAAAGAAGGTCATACACAACTGTTGAAAAAACATGCAAAATCTTGGTGCCTGATGGTCACTCACAGTGTGGACACCACTCATGAATCAATGTTTATCAGTCTATTCAACACCTTAAGATTTTAAGGCCCAAACAATTTCTTCACTATGCCCACTTTTCAAATTATACACAGTATCTGACATTAGCACAAATTATTCAGCACCTGGACTTTGATTTATGGAATTTGGCATTTCAAAAGAAATGCAAAATATCATTAGCATCCACTTGGCATTCTTTCAGAGGCCTTAATTAAAGAGTGCAAAGGAGGCAGCAGTGATGGCAAAACATTACAGATCAGTAGTACTACACTAATATCACACACACAAGAATTTGAAAGGATGCTCCAATGCCAACTCACTATTTTTATGGGAAAGTATTACCAACACAACTTGAATCAACATGGACTTTGAGCAAGAATATCAAGACACACTGAGGGTAAATTTCTAGGTCTTCTCCTTGACTGTAATCTTAAATTTCATTCCCACATCTAACATATATCCAAGAAAATTTCCAAATCAGTAAGCATCCTTCCCAAGACACAATACTATGTACCACAAATACTCCTTACCCTATACCACTCTTTAATATATCCTTACCTCACCTATGGTATTTGTGCCTGGGGATCAACCACAGCCAACCACCTTAAACCTTTAATAACCCAACAAAAAGCTGTTGTGTAGATGATTACCAGCTCCTGTGCTAGACAGCACACTCCACCACTTTTCAAAAGTCTGAACTTGCTAAATATACAAGACGTACATTCATATTATTGTGCCTACTACATATACAGAACATTAAATTCCACTATAAACCCTCCACTTAAACTTCTCCTTGATAGTTACAACAAAACAGTCAATACATGGCATAAGGCACTCTTCAACATCCCTTGTGTCAGTCTCACACTATGCAAAAACGCTATGCACACAAAGGGTCCGAAGATTGGGAACTCGCTACTGGAACTGGTAAAGGATCCTCCGACTACTTATAAATTTAGGACTTTGCTAAAAAAAATCCTCTCTCAATACCATCCTAATCACCACAACTTCTAATTAGTTATATTATGTGAGCTCTAGGCTATTAAACATCTGCCAATCCATGAAATATTACTACCTGAACCATTAATTGTAATAGTGTTTTTATTATGTGCAACTACAAGATTATTTTTCTTATAAACCTCCACCTTGATTACCTCACATTAGTATTAAGATTAAATAAGATTGTAATCAAGTTAACCACTATTATCTTGTCTAGTCTTAAGTAGTTACTGTGTACTAGGATTAGTCTGCCCAAAATGTCCTGGCATGATAGTGGCTTTCTTTGTATGTAGCAAACAAAAACTGTAATTACACATTGTAACCTTTACAAAGAAATGTCTTTTAACTATTATGGTACAGTAGTGTGAAAATTAACCTTTTTGGGGGTCGCCAGGCCCTCTCAGACTTGTTCTCAGGGTCGCCAACAAAAAAAAAATCTTATGAAAAGATAGAGAATCTTTTCCCGACCATAATGATACCAAAAGTATGAAATTTGATGGAAAACTTACAGAATTATGCTCTCGCAAAGTTAGTGGTCTTGACGGCGTTTACACATCGGCGATTTTGCCCATTTTGAGCCCTATTTTCGGCCAATTCCAGTGTACTAGTCGACAAAAATCATAACTATTTCGCTAGAACTCCATTTTTTTTTCTATAGAATGAGTACAAGAAACCACCCATTTACCAATTTCAACTATCCAATAAAGTGGTCAGAATTTAGCAATTTTTGCCAATTTCACAAAAATTTCAAGATGCCAATTTCTGAAAAGGGTCCAGAATATACAAGAAAGACATTCCTGGCACTAAAATAACAAGTTCTCTGTTCGTTAGTCACATCCTCAGGCCCCTCTTATGTTTCTTTGGCTTTCCACTTTGAATTTTTATTCTTACAAAAAATAGAAGATTTACTGTTATGCAGACTACTGCATTAGTGTAGAAATAGTATAAATAATATCAGCGCACTTGTGAAAGAATATTAGACTCACCAGCTGACGTGGTGGAGAAAGTGGTTGACGCATTGTCAGTGTGGCTTTGTTTATGCTGGAGTGAGTATTAGTCTCTGTGCTCTTCCAAACATTTAACAATAATTCACTGTATTTGGTGTTTGTAGATTGAGTGTGACTGGAGTGGTTGAGGCAGTGGTAGAGGCAGTGGTAGAGGCAGTGGTAGAGGCAGTGGTAGAGGCAGTGGTAGAGGCAGTGGTTGAGGCAGTGGTTGAGGCAGTGGTAGAGGCAGTGGTTGAGGTAGTGGTTGAGGTAGTGGTTGAGGCAGTGGTAGAGGCAGTGGTAGAGGCAGTGGTAGAGGCAGTGGTAGAGGTAGTGGTAGAGGCAGTGGGTGAGGCAGCAGTTGAGGCAGTGGTAGAGGCAGTGGTTAGAGGTAGTGGTAGAGGCAGTGGTAGAGGCAGTGGTAGAGGCAGTGGTAGAGGCAGTGATAGAGGCAGTGGGATTAGAGGCAGTGGTAGAGGCAGTGGTAGAGGCAGTGGTAGAGGCAGTGGTAGAGGCAGTGGTAGAGGCAGTGGTAGAGGCAGTGGTAGAGGCAGTGGTAGAGGCAGTGGTAGAGGCAGTGGTAGAGGCAGCAGTTGAGGCAGTGGTAGAGGCAGTGGTAGAGGCAGTGGGTGAGGCAGCAGTTGAGGCAGTGGTAGAGGCAGTGGTAAAGGCAGTGGTAGAGGCAGTGGTAGAGGCAGTGGGTGAGGCAGCAGTTGAGGCAGTGGTAGAGGCAGTGGTAAAGGCAGTGGTAGAGGCAGTGGTAGAGGCAGTGGGTGAGGCAGCAGTTGAGGCAGTGGTTGAGGCAGTGGTAGAGGCAGTGATATTTACTAACATATATGTTATAAATAATAATAGTACATTATGAATAACATTTATTATTATTTTTTTTTCAACAAGTCGGCCGTCTCCCACCGAGGCAGGGTGACCCAAAAAAGAAAGAAAATCCCCAAAAAGAAAATACTTTCACCATCATTCAACACTTTCACCACACTCGCACATTATCACTGTTTTTGCAGAGGTGCTCAGAATACACAGTTTAGAAGCATACACATATAAAGATACACAACATATCCCTCCAAACTGCCAATGGTAGTAGGTTGGTAGACAGCAACCACCCAGGGAGGTACTACCGTCCTGCCAAGTGAGTGTAAAACGAAACCCTGTGATTGTTTTACATGATGGTAGGATTGCTGATGTCTTTAGTCTGTCTCATAAATATGCAAGATTACAGGTATGTCTTGCTACTTCTACTTACACTTAGGTCACACTACACATACATGTACACATTTATTTATACACACTCATCTGAGTTTTCTTTGATTTTATCTTAATAGTTCTTGGTCTTATTACTTTTCCTTTTATATCCATGGGGAAGTGGAGTAAGAATCTTTCCTCCGTAAGCCATGCGTGTTGTAAAAGTCAACTAAAATGCCGGGAACAATGGGCTAGTAACCCCTTTTCCTGTAAAGATTACTAAAAAGAATAAGAAGAAGAAAATTGTCAAAGTGGGAAGTCTGAATGTGCGTGGATGTTGTGCAAATGATAAGAAAGAGATGATTGTGGATGTTATGAATGAGAAGAAGCTGGATGTCCTGGCTTTAAGTGAAACAGAGCTGAAGGGGGTGGGAGAGTTTCAATGGAGAGGAATAAATGGGATTAGGTCAGGGGTTTCAAATAGAGTTAGAGCTAAAGAAGGAGTAGCAATAATGTTGAAGGATAAGCTATGGCAGGAAAAGAGGGACTATAAATGTATTAATTCAAGGATTATGTGGAGTAAAATAAAGATTGCATGTGAAAAGTGGGTTATAATAAGCGTGTATGCACCTGGAGAAGAGAGAAGTGTAGAGGAGAGAGAGATTTTGGGAAATGTTGAGTGAATGCGTGGGGAGTTTTGAATCAAGTGTGAGAGTAATGGTGGTTGGGGATTTCAATGCTAAAGTGGGTAAAAATGTTATAGAGGGAGTAGTAGGTAAATTTGGGGTGCCAGGGGTAAATGTTGAAGGGGAGCCTTTAATTGAGCTATGTGTAGAAAGAGATTTGGTAATAAGTAATACATATTTTATGAAAAAGAGGATAAATAAATATACAAGGTATGATGTAGCACATAATGAAAGTAGTTTATTAGATTATGTATTGGTGGATAAAAGGTTGATGGGTAGGCTCCAGGATGTACATGTTTATAGAGGGGCAATTGATATATCGGATCATTATTTAGTTGTAGCTACAGTTAGAGTAAGAGGTAGATGGGAAAAGAGGAAGGTGGCAACAACAAGTAAGAGGGAGGTGAAAGTGTATAAACTAAGGGAGGAGGAAGTTCGGGTGAGATATAAGCGACAATTGGCAGAAAGGTGGGCTAGTGCAAAGATGAGTAGTGGGGGGGGGGGGGGGGGGGGGGGGTTGAAGAGGGTTGGAATAGTTTTAAAAATGCAGTATTAGAATGTGGGGCAGAAGTTTGTGGTTATAGGAGGGTGGGGGCAGGAGGAAAAGAGGAGTGATTGGTGGAATGATGAAGTAAAGGGTGTGATAAAAAGAGAAAAAGGTAACTTATGAGAGGTTTTTACAAA